GGTGTTCCGCAAGGCTCCGTTCTTGGGCCTCTGCTTTTTTTAATATTTATCAATGACCTTCCTTCCACCATTTCCTCTAAAATTTGCCTCTTCGCAGACGACTGCGTAGTCTATAACAAAGTAACATGTGTGCATGATCACAACCAGCTACAAGATGACCTTCTAAAAATTAACCAATGGTGCAACACCTGGTTGATGTCACTAAACAAATCCAAATGTAAATTAATCCGCTTCACCAGAAAGAACTCTATCCTATATCATCAGTACTTCTTCGACTCCGACCTAATCGAAACCTTTTCAATGTATAAATATCTTGGTGTAAGACTAACATCGGATCTCTCATGGAATAACCACATTGAAGCCATACATGCTGACTCATAGAGAACTCTAGGCTTCATCCGACGTAACCTGCGCAGTGCTCCTCCACTCGTCTGCAAAATGGCGTACGACACGTTCATCAAACTAAAATTAGAATATGCAGCTTTCATCTGGATTCCCCATCAGGCCTACGTCATCAACCACCTGGAAGCAGTGCAAAACCGAGCCGCTCGATTCGTCTTGTCTACTTACGATTTTTCTGTCAGTGTATCCGAGTTAAAAAGTCAGCTAACCTTGTCTTCTTTGCAGCTCCGCAGAAAACTCTCGCCTCTGTCTTCTTCATAAAGTCTACTATCATTGCCCCAACCTCAAGAACTCTTTGTTATCACCTCCTGACAGGACATCTTCTCGTCTTAACAACTCCTGCACAATCAAACGTGTCTCCGGTTCCACAAACGCATTCAATCAGTCTTTCCTTCCTCAAGCCATCTTTGACTGGAACAGCCTACCATCCTCCATTGTCAACATCGTGGACCCAGAAGTATTTTGTCGAGCTTACGGATTCACTTTTCTTGTTATTAGTATTTTTTGCCAGTCTGTACGATTAATGAGCTTGACCTGGATCTGTTAATTAGCTTGTGTTCCTTCCTTTTCTTGTTTGTATAACATGTATATACCCCCCTTATGTAATGCCCTAATTGGGCCCTTAAGGTAAAAATAAATGAAATGAGCGTACAGGCCCAGTTTCCAGGAAATGTAAAATATTATTTCCAAATATTTTATTTCGATTTGCATTCAAATTTTAATAATCATATTGATTTGCAGTCAAAAACTTGATGGTATTTGCACACCTCTAGGTACAATCATAAGGACATTCCACGGTTACCAACATACATCTTCCTTGATATATTGCTACGAGACAAAAAGTTTCATATGAAAGTTGTTGAGAATTGCAAGCGAATAATGGCAACCATGTTTAGGCGAGCGCAGCAATATTGCCACAGGACAAAAGAATTACACAGTGACGGCACCTGGAAATGACATTATGAATATGTGTAAACTCTCGGGTCTAATAAAAAAGTGCATTTGTGCTGTACACATTTCAGTGAGAGTGTGTGCAAAGTTTATGTGCCTAATTTTGTACTGCCTTAGAAAAAGGCTGCCAGTTACAGGGACATAATTGTATCTAATGAATGCTGATAATTGTATATTCAGAAATTCTTCTCCTACGATATATGTGGAACATTGAAGGCTTGTGCAGTTGACAGTGATGTGATTGCTGCGCCAAACTGCGCCAAGGGGCTGACCCTGCTACATCCTGCTACATTTTTCCAAAATATAAACAAACTGCTCCAAGCCTACACCAAAAAAAAATTTTTGTCTTTTTTAAAATGAATTAAACCAGGGTGTCGAACCGGAACCGAACCGAAAACCGGAACCGAACCGGTATTTTTCCCGGAACTGAACCCGAACCCGAACCGTTATATTGTTATTGCGATGAACCCGAACCGGAACTGAACCGGAAAAAAAAAATAACGGTTACCGGCTCATGTCAAAATGGTTCGGCCTCGCGCTGTTGACAATGAATGTGCTATCAATGCCATTTGTTTTTTAAGTGCCGTCAACTAACACACACCTCGCTTACATATTTTTCTTCTCCACTCAGTCTTGGGAATATAAACGCTGCATCCATGAATCTTGACAAACGCTGCATCCATGAATCTTGACAAACGCTGCATCCATGAATCTTGGCATAGGAACCAGTATTGCGCTGGTCGCAGCTTGCACGGAAAAAAAAAAATTAAAAGGCTGTGCAAAAAAAAAAAAAAAAATTGCGTCACGGGATTTCATTTTTCTACAATCTCGTAAATCCTAAATGCCGCTGTGTGCTCATTTCATAACACATTTCTAGCACGCGCGAGTTCTTGAAGCTTGCTTCCATCGGAATGAGAAAAGAAAAGGCTGTGGAGTTCGATAATGTTTGAGGGAGAGAAAGAAATTTTATTTACAGTTGAAATGAGCATTCATGAATTATATCTGCTTTTTGCTGCCCCAACCACCGGTCAGAGTATACCGAGCTATGAAGTGTCAAGATTTACATGCCGTATTTTTTCGTACCGGAAACTCAATGTATCCCGTTTCGTATGTGCTGATTTCAGATGTTTTATTTGTAATTTATTTTGATGTTGCGATTTGTCATTTATAATTTCCGAACCGGTTCGCGAACCGGTTCAGCGCCCTGAACCGGTTCGCGAACCGGTTCGCGGATCGAATCAATTGAACCGGAACTGAACCGGAACAAGATAAATTTACCTGAACCTGAACCGTAACCGAACCCGTACTTTTTTCGGTTCGACACACTGAATTAAACTGAGTATTGTAATCGAGCGTGCATGTGTTGTGTGGCGCAAGCAGCCGCCCGACACAAAGTACCCTGCATCAATTGTCCATCCAGTCTTGCATGGTTTTCCCACCCTCTCGCGTTGGGTCTAGTCTCGTGGGTCTAGTCTCGTGTATTCTTTTTTAATATTTTCAGAGATAGACGCGGACGTGTGCAGACACTCCAATGCTAGCATGTTGGGTACCAGCCATGCCGTCGTGCTGTGAAATGAAACCAGGTTTTTGCGCGGCATGAGTTACTTTGTGAGCTGAAGCTCCTGAGGGCAACGGCCGTGGGAGAACTCTATTTGGCCCCTGTCTTCCAGTCACCGTGGTCACCTGACGGCGGGTGTGGCCGTCCCCACGTCGCTGCAGAAATGGCGCTTTCTAAAATGAAACTAAGTACCATTGCATGTTCATCAACATTCCTGTTCTTGATTAAATCATACCATACTACAAAGTCCCTCTTTAACTTAAAGACTGCTGTGTCGAAGTATTGTTTACCTAGGTACGTGGAAAATCTGCCGCCAGAGAAAGTTCTTAAAGAGCAGTGAGCTAAAGCAAAGAAAACAATAGGTGCACGCTGAACCCGCACAGCGTGCTTGCTTGTCTCGAGTTCAGTCGTTGCACAAAGCACTCAAATAACTTTTTGACCCTGGCTTGCAGAGTCTTGCATCATAGTGCTCAGGTTCTTTTTTAGACGCGAAGCTCCTTAGGGTCTAGCCTTGTCCGTCCATTCATCCGTCCGTCCGGACGGCATCCATGCTCACGTAAAAAGAAAAAATGTTTGCACAGTCGACAGGATTCGAACCTGTGCGGGGAGACCCCAATGGATTTCTAGTCCATCGCCTTAACCACTCAGCCACGACTGCGGGACGAGTAGGGGGCTCTGGGATGTGGTAGTAACTCAAGAGCTGGGGATGTAATGAATGAAACGTTGCATGTAGCCGCTCAACGTGTATACAGGAGAGGGAGCTGCGGTCAAATGCGTACATAATCGCGTTAAACTTTGCATGCAATGGCTCAACGTTTATAAACGAGAGGGCGCTGCAGTCAAACGCTCAACTGCGTATATAAGCACGATCCATGTTACACATTCTCTTTCTGACATGGATCGTTGACTTAAGCAGTGGAGATGCATTCCCACGGCTTCTAGTAGATCCAAGCTGATCCGCTAGAAGAACCACTGGCTCTGCATTTCACCGACCATAAAGCAGTAATAATGAAGTCGAAATGCAACCTGGAACTCAGCACTACCTATGAGCGATTAAAAAAATCAGCACCGTCGGCACTTCCTATTGACAATAAAATCAGTGTCATCAGCACCACCAGAGCTTCGCCCCAATCAACATTATTCACCACGTGGAGATGCCGTCATTTTATTTTTGTGTGTGTTTAGCTTGTCGGCCTGGCAAGCACGCGCCGCTGGACTGTTTTTTGTTGTATGCTGGACAGTTACCTTTTGCATACAATTTTGGGAACCAGTTGGCGACGGAGTGGAGCGGCATGGTTTCAGTTTTGATCGAACAGCCGTTGTCTCCGCTCGCGCGATGAGGCACGCACAACTGAAAGCCTGCCAAAGTTGCCCTCATGTACATGCATGCATGATTGCACGACAAAGGCACCAGCCGGGACGCTTGCAATTTATAGTTTTACGTTTGCTTACTTTTGACAAAAATCTGGCACTCCAGAAACCAGTAGAACGGTGGTAAGCGGTTTTTTTCGGAATTGCTCGGCAATGCCTACAGCACTGTACACTTATGGGGTCTCAGCAGTAAAAACACAAGCAGCGAGTTCCGTCACAACATGTCATATCAGAACACAACACGAAGTACCCTTCGTTTGTACAGCACTTAAAACAAATAGTTTTATTTTTCGAAGAATATCTGCTTTAAAAGCCACTTTTTCTGCTCGGAAACACTGTCTTGACTGCTCCAAAAACCAGTTTTGCTGCTTCAAAACACTGTTTTGGCTGCTCCGAAGGGTGCTTCAAAATGGCTTAGGCCAGTCACATCACTGAGTTGGCTATAACTGGTCTTGCTTTGTGTTGTTGAAGCCTCTGACCGGTGAGCATGTTTGATATTCAATGACTCGACTCTTGTGTTAAGACAGAGAGGTAAGCTCGATAAATTCTTTATGCTTTTTGTGTCCTGTACCAGAGTGGGCAGTATAGAAAATGAAGCGTGCTCTTGGTCTGATGCACCGAACGCAATGTGTCCGACCCTTTTGGTTCCACTGAGACATCTTCATGGTGCATTGGATGACATGAAATGAGGCCTGTCCCCTTGTTCTCTTCCTGGCAGGTACGGCGACATGCGAGTGCTGATGGGCTTCCAGATCCTGGCCCTCTGGAACAAGCTCGGTACGAAAACGATGCTTGATCGGTTGCTCAAGTGACAAGAAGTTTCGCCCGTTGCCTCGTGGCAAGCTCATCCGCCCACTTTCCCAATTGTGTACAAAAATAGTGAATCAATGAAGAAAAAAAAGGTGGCTAAATAGATCCCCCTGAGCGTTGTTGAGTTACGATGCTCCCAAGCTTCTGTTCCCAACTGTGTTGTAGCACCGCCAATGACGGCATTTAAATGGCAGCCCCGCGACATTATATTAAATTGGAGCAGGTAAAGCTGGAATTCCCTTTTCGCCAACTAGATGCAGTATACTCCATCTTGAAAAACCCAGTGAAAGACACCACCGACAATACAACACTTTTTTTGTCGTATTGTCTCTGATGGAAAATAATAGACAAATGTAAAACTGGAACTACGTACAGATTTAATAAGATGAACTTGTTCCTACAAACAAAAAAAAAGTTTGTGCATTTAGCATTGGTGAAGGAAGGGCAAGTAAGCAATGTGTTTCCGCTGCTTTTGTACATGCGTTCAGGAATGTTCCGAACCAGGAAGCACAAGCCGGAACAAGCTGGAAATTTCCAGGAGACTACAGATTGTCAGAAACGGAGCTGCGCTTTTGCGCTGCTTCACTGCAGACTACTGCAATATCCCGAGTCATTGCCGCCTGAAATTGATAAAATGAGTGGCCGTGTCTCGGTGGGTAAACAGCAAAAGTTTAGAAGAAGCTAAAAATGTGGAGGCTTCAGGTGAAGATGGAGGACCAGCGCTTTACAACACCTTTACGGCATCTATATTACATCTACCGTAAAATACGGGGCAAGTGCCCACTCAAAGTTTCGAGATAATCGCAAAAAAATGGGAGATGGGCGCTTTTCCGGTCATCAATTTTACATATAAATGTACTGTGTGTATTTTCTCGGATGTACCGTGTGTGTTTTCTCAGGGCGCTTAATGTGGAATGGGCGGATGCGCGGTACTCTACGGTATACGATTTACTAATGATTGGGAGGAAGACGCGAGTTTGTTGTTTAATGGTCTTTATTTAATTCTTAGTGACTAATGTGTTCATTGCCTTATGGTCACTTATGGGCAAGTTCTGAACCCAATTTTTCGAGGGACGCCTGGAGGACAGTTTTTTCCGATTGAGCCCAAGTCTCTCGATGAGCCCTGCGGAAGCTAGAGAAGAGAAGGGTAGATCGGGGCCTTCTGCCCTCAGCCTCGTCACACCACACTCTTAGCTAAGTCGGTAGATGACAACAAGGGATGAGGACCTCACTTTCTAATAATGCTAAGGAAGGCTGACTCACGCGGGCTGCCCCATCTTTTCGTTTATACTTGCCACGACCAACCGGAACGAAGGAGCGCCGTTTAAATGAGAGCTTTTAGAGCACAGCTCTTAGGCACCCGTGTCCGGCTTGATCGGCATTGCCTTTGCCATCACCAAGCGTTGCATCATGGGACGTTCCCATACTGACGTCACACATGACATCGCATGACGCCTAAAATTAGAGGGAATACTTCCCCACTAAGTTTGGCGGGGAAATTTCCCACTTAATTTAGGGGGGGAATTTCCGCGCTATATTTAGCAGAAAAAGTTTCCCACTAAATTAAGCAGAAAAAGTGCCTCGCCAAACTTAGCTGAAAGATTTCCCCGCTAAATTTAGCCAAAATTTTGCGCTAAAGGGGAGCAAAGCAGGAAAGGAAAAGGGGCATACCCTCCTCCTCCTCAAGAGCTGCTCTCTGATTCAACAGAGAATCGGAAACGTCCTTCATATTTTGTCAACATCCATGGACGCATTTCTTTACAGATCCTAGCACATAACAGCTTTGCTGTAAAAACAACGCCCATTTTCTGTATGTATCTAGTGCGGCTGCACAAGAGATACATGAAACTCAAAACTCAAATTAGTTTGATTGTTTTATGCAAGAAATGCTCACGAAAGAATATAACAAAGTCCTTTGCTTGCATACGCGCTATGAACACTGCCGATCGGCATGCAGCGTGAAGTTTGTTCTTTGAAAGTATGTTTCTAAGATCGTAAAGTTCTCGTCATGGAGAAAAAAAAAACAGTCACCAACAAAATAGAAAAAGCAAATAGGTGCAACGAGCGAGTGGACGAAAGAAGCGATGAAGAGCAATACTGGGGTAGCGGGAAAGCCGCCGATGGCGTTGGCAAATACTTTGGCGTTGGGCAGAGTTGGGCGCCTTGTCAGTCACAAGGACTGCGCAAGTCTCTTGTTTGGTGCATACATGCATGCATCCATGTGCGGCGTGCTATTAATGCGGGTTGAAGCAATGTTGTTGCGTGGTGTGAACACGAAGCTCGAAATGAGACGCTCTACAAACGTCTGTGAGCTGCGTTCCAGCAAATTTTATTTCCCCCTTTGGCAGTTTCTCTTGAATATTGCAGAACCTCGTCAACCGCGGTCGCAACATTCCGGGAGAAGGAGTGGGTTCGCGGTGGACCTTACTTCGTTGGAGCTGGACTTTGACCTTAACTCTGCGGTTACATTCCAGAATATGGGGCAATCGCTGACCTCGCAATCCCTAAAAAGGGTACTGCTTGTCTTATCTTTCCGACTGTCTTTTTGTCCAAACTTTCTTGCGAACAAAGGAAAGTTTAAATCTGTTTTCTCCATTGGTTTCCTTAAGCGCAGCTGTACTCCGACTCTGGGGTCGCGGAAATCGGTGCTGAAGTGCGTGAGCAGAGTGAAGTGTCCTCCCCTCCTGCGTTTTACTTTGTCACAGATGTCCTCCAACCGTAGGGTGTCATTCGGGTGGGGTGAATGTTCGTTGATTGCGGAGTCTGCGCTGGGGTAATTGTAGGGGCGGGCAACCGCTCGGTCCTTTTCCTGGAAATGGATATTCACCCAAAAAGTGGGCGATGACTCGGGATATTACGGTAAGTCGACCTGCACGTCAATGTTTCTTCTTATGAAGGCAACGAGCAGCGTGTGCCTCGAGGCTTTTTTCTCCCCCCCCCTACGGCTTTGAGGTTGGTGCCGCCGTTCCTCCCTCGCACTTATCTTTCACCCTTCGTTATACTTTTGAGGGTTCTTACGGTTTTTCTTTGTATTTTGCATTGCTTCTCGGTTTCGCTGTCTCATTTTATGAGTGTTGCTCATTGATAATTTTGTTGCGGTCGTTTTGTTCTCCCCGTGACGCCATGCGCCCCGCTAGTCTCAAGTCAATTGGTGCAATTGCTGGAGGATTTCATTCGCGCAATGCACATATTGGTGCCACGAAAATTTGGTACCTCGCTCATCTTGAAACTCCGCTTATCTTGAATTTTTTTCTAGTGTTTATGACTCGGAGTTGAGGAGTGGGAGTAAAAGTCGTGGCTGTTCGCTCGTGCTACTCGCACAATCGGGGGGGGGGGGGGTTGGCCAACAGAATGTTCTTCCTCACGAGCCTCTTCTCTGGCACGGCAACTGCATTCTCGGGGAACATAAGGACGTCAGAAAACATAAGGAATTTAGTTTTTTCTTCTCAATTCACTTACCACTCCCCCACGCATGTACATGCATTTCGTGTTACAATACAGAAGTTTCCCAGTGGTTCTGCCGAAGGAAATGTGCCTTTAAAAGAAAGTACTGGGTCGAGCAGGGTTGGAACCCTGTTCCTCCGCGTGGTAGCCACTTGCATTGCCAGCTCCACCACACACGGGGTGTGTTACTTTACATCATTGCTCGCCGAGGGATGTTTGCTTCATAGTTTTGTCTTACGGGCAAATATTTGTTCTTGATGCAATAACAGCTGCAGGTTAGAAGGAACAAAAAGCAAGGCCTGTTTCAAGGTGTGTTGCTACTGCAGGCTGCCACAAGGCCTGCTTTGTGCCGGCCATGGTGGGCCCCTTCCTGAAGATGACCCTGGTGCGGGAGACGGAGCTGCGCAAGGCCACCCTGCCCATCTTCTTCGACATGATGGACTGCGAGCAAGCCGCCAGGGGAAACTTCCAGCAGGTCAGGGTAGTTAAAACCTCGGGCCTGCATTGGCAATAAATATTCGCATCTGGGCTCAACGCAAAGGCGAGCGTTGTGCTTGCAAAAATGTTAAATCCATAACGTCGGCTATAACACTCGCACGGTTCTCATACCCTAAACATTTTTCTCGTTTACTTTATGATGCAATTTTTAAGCATGTGCGGATAGTGGATTTTGAGTTCAAAGCGAGTAGTGGTTTTGGCCGAATATTTTCAGATCCAATACCAAATAGTTTTTCCAAGCACCATGTTTAACCCCTTAGGTGCCCTGTCATTTAGAACTTTCAACCTTTCCACTTTGAAGGAAGAGCGGCGGAGCTTCTGTTCTCGGCGGTGGCTTTCCAGGCGAGCGATCTGCTCTTCTTTCGCGAAAGAATCTGAAGCGCTCGATGCAGTGGAACTTGAGGCAATAGCAGCCTCGCGGCGGCTACGAAACCATTCGCGCTGCTGCGCACTTGGCCGCTCATTCCGTTCCCGCGCTTCTTCCCTCGAAGCAATGTTGACGCAGTCTATGAGCAACGGCGGCTAGCGGACAACCGGCAAACACAACACCCTGGACAGCTACCGATATCTATGAGTGACGGCGGCAACCAGAGTTTTGTGTCGCCATTTCTTCGCGGGGGACACAATCTTCGGGAAATTAACCCTTAAGAGGGGGCGCACCTCAGAGCCCCATAGAGAATACATGAGGTTTTTCACCAAATTAAAAAAATTCTCACATAATAACGGCTGCGCGGATCTTCTTGAAAATTTCGGCTTTAAAGACACTGAGTCATTATCGAGACACTAAGCGCAACAAATGTTTCATCATAAATTTAATTATATTTTTTAAAAAATCATGAAAATGGTCAAAATTGGCTAATTCGGCACTCTTGCGTTCGGAGCAAATTTACAAAATTATCTAAATTCAAACATAAGAAGTATTGCGCTTAATGCCTTCTAAATTTATTACGGAATCGAATATTTTTCAAATTATTCATGTAAGTCGATTTGTTCCGTAACTACAGCAAATATAAAGAACCAAGGTGTCGGTGCTTGTTTTCGTCGTTTTTAAGGTACCTCTCTCTCCCGTGCGGTGGCGCTCGCTGTCCACGAAATGCGAAATCGTCCGTTCGGAGATCGGCCGGATCGGCACTGTGCGAGGTGTTCTTCCGCGGCCGTATTCCGCGCCCGTATCCTGTTTCATTCTGCACGCCGAGGCGTCAGTGTGCGTGTCTTGCTTTCCTGGTTCTCGCTGGGTGGGTCTCCGTGTTTTCGCAAGTGGCAAATTCACCTTGGAGCTATGGGTCGAAGAGATCCGTCCTGTGACAAGCGGACCGCGAGGTGTTCCCCAATCTCGCGGTCCGTCAACGCGTTGTGCTTGTTTCTACTTTTTTTCTTTTCTTTTAAAAACGGGCTTTTTTTTTTATGCAGTTTTATTTTATTGTTATCCTTCACACAAACGTCCTTCGGCCTTGGGGTCGTGGAAATCGGGGATGAAGCGTGCACAGAGTAGATCGTTGTTTGCCTCCTTTTTACGGTTCGTGGTCACCGCAATCTAACGCGGGGAAAAACGGGTCGCCTGCTCTGTAGTCAGGGTATTCCTAGGGGAGGGTGATAACTCGCTCTTCTTCTGGAAATTCACATATCACCCAAAAAGGTGACATGGGTAATGATTACGGTATGTTTTTTCCGGTGTTTATTTTTGAGCGAATATCGGTGCATGTTTTTCGGTGCTTATTTTTTAATCACCAGTGTATTATGGGTTGAACGTGTTGTGATGACGCTAAAAAGCGTTGATAACCAAAGAAAAATGCGATTGGACAAGAATATTTCAAATTTCCAATTCTATTCACATATCCATTACGCTCTTCTCGTGGGAGCATCTATCCTGACGAAAAATGCCTAAGTCATTGAGCTGTGAACGCATACTCAGTGTACAATCTTTCGGCCTAGAGAGGTATTGCGCACGCTCGAACGCACTTCACAGCCCAGTAGACGAAGTTGGTGGCACCCAGAAGGCGAGCTTTTGAATGGTCTGTAGTAGGCAAAAGAAACAAATAACAATCAACGCATATCAGCTCTTCAAGCGAAGAGGTGCGTTTCTAAGGTCAATGGTTCCGGACGGCACTAATGTTGTTGGCGTTGTCGTAAGATGACGTCAGTTCATACGAACTGACGTCATCTTACGTGATCACGTGACACAAACACGTCATCTTACATGATCTCGTTACACGAAATGACGTCATCTTACATGATCACGCTGCACGAAATGACGCCATCTTACGTGACCACGTAACACGTCATCTTGTAAGTCAACCTGTCCCCACAGCAGCGCGCTCCGCGCTTTCCGGGCCCGTGCAGTGCTGTAGTCGAAAGCAAGCTCCCTATGGCAAGCGAAAGCTTCTGAAGTCTCACATTGAGAATACTCGCAAGCGACCATCTGTGGAAGCTTCGCACGTTGAGGTTTTTGTTGAGATCGAGCCATCCTGTTCCATTAACTATAGTTGAAGTTATCGTTCAATAAAGCCCTAAAAATATGAATGTAGTTGGTGTAGACATCAAGATCTAATCAAAAATGCGGTTTGACGTCGTTTAATTAACGTGTATATACAAGTGTAGAAAAAATGAGTTATTTGTGCATAGATGTTTAAAAAAGTGTTTATTATTCGACATAGGACTTTGGGAGAAGGGTGTGTTCAGATTTTTCTTCATGAGCGCAAATATACCTGGCGCAATAAATAGTGACGATTTCATCGTCCCAGTGATGGGCACGTGATTTATTGCTCGAAACAATGATGCCATTTCATAAACCAAGTTCTGCGACATATGCTTTTCCAATGTCTGGTCACTATTTTGTAAACCTTTCAGTCCAAACGAGTATACTTCTGTTTGTTTTTGTTAGCTTAGGAGGGGGTCACAGAGCCTATCTTTTTGTCTTCCTCTAGGACAGACGTACAGAGTTATACCGCAACACGCATCGGTGGAGCACACAGAGCTATCGCTCTCCTGTTGGCGGTACAGTAGCAGACGACACAACGCAGCTCCGTAGTCTATCGAGGGCACGGCTAGCCGCGGCCCGTAGCGCGACCGTTCAGACTAGGGAAATGGTTTTGAAGAACCGAGAAATGGTATCTTATGTACAATAATCACATGTCGTTAGTATACTAGTATTCTACTTGCTAAGCCAAATAAATATTTGCTGCTTGTGAGAATATGTTTGCATGACGATTTACCGTTCACACTCCTGACGGATGTTAGCGAATCCTTTATGTTCGTGGCTCGCAGTTATCGGTACCCCCTCGGAGTGACTTCACCATATATATTTTTTTCTTGCTTGCAGGACATCATAAAAATCACAAACACGCGAGAAAAAAAAAATCTTATGAGTACGCGTGATTTTGAGCTTCGCAGCTCTAAAGATGCCCGGTAAATGTCGTCCAGCTTGGGAAGAAACTAATCCTTTTTGTTGGAGTTTGACTATCGTATGCTGGCAGCTCGTTTCCGGTCTGTTTTGTCTATACTCCGTTTCACCGTAATTTGGCAACCCTCAGTCAGAGCTGCTGTGAGGGAATCACAGTCGCGGAGCAAAGCACGTGACAGCTACTTTTAGGAGCAGTACTATGGCACCTGCAGCGCGTCTCCGACTGGTGTGTTTAGCGTCTTATGCTGGCCATACATCAAAAGTGGCCTCGAAGTGCAACAAATGACGTCACAGAAGACGGAGTGTCACGCTGTTGCATCTCGCGATCCTGGCAATTCATCGTAGAAATGCTGGCGAAAACCACGAGGGAACACGAGTGTCGCTGTCGTCATGGCGTCCCAACGAAAAGCAATTATACAATTTCGACGTTTTTGTAATTTGGTAATTTAAATTACTGTATACAATTTTGAAGAAAATAAAGACATCATAACCAAATAGGAACTTCCGTGCTAAAACATGCAGTGCGAAGTGAAGACAACTACTATCTTTTTTTTTTTCTTGATGTCCACAAAAAAAAAAGGCTATGCAGCATCGATCCTACCGTTCTTTTTTGTTTTTTTTTCCGCACATTATGTGATGTCCTCTAACACGAAAGTACCGACGTAAAAGCGCTGTAGAGACGATATAAAAACAAAAATTTAAGTGAATCGAGCTTTGTAGTGGAACGGAAAAATAAATAATTAACGACTTTTTACGGTAAACACTTCACCTGTAAGTAGAACTTCAAAAAAGTGACGGTTACGCGCTTTCATGCCCATTTCAACAAAGTTGGGAGAACGATGTATTGCATCTTGTGAATAGACATGTGGAGCAGCATGTTTATGTTAGAGGCATTGTGTGTAATCGCTGCGCAGTACCTGCCAAAAGAAGATATTATTTGGGCACAGTCTCAACCGTTTCCGTCTGTGTGTGCTACGAATACAGCAACTCTTTTCGTAGAAGAAGTGATGAGGAAATGGCGTGCCCTTGATGATACGATTGTGATTATGAAATAAAATTTTTAATCAGCCAATAATTGCGACCTGTCCGGTCGCCTGGAACCCCGACAACAACTATCGTTCTCTGGAAAGTTCATTCTAATATTTACACGTTTTGTGGAGTTCATCGAGCCAATAAGGATGTTCCAACAATGAGCTAAACCTACACGAGTTCCCGAATCCAACACGGCGCTTTTGAATTTTAGCGCTGTAGATAGTTCTGCGAACAGTGTATACTTCTGTGCAAATATTCGTCTAACAGTTTTGCAACGTTGGAAAGCATCGGAATGATTCAGAATCACTGCGGAGATGATACTCGGGAAGATAAGACGGGCACTTGGGAGAAACGGACCGTGGCATTTGAGACAGGGGCACAACCGGGGGACAAACGTGCTACAATCGCATACCCTTCCAAGGTCATCGCTTGGGCGACCGCGCGCGCCCCCAAGAAACCTTTCTTTTCTTCTTTTTAGGGGTGGTGGGGGGGGGGGGGGGGGGAGGGGAGGGGAGTGGTGTAGGCGCTGATTGTCTTCCTCCTTT